TCTTATAAATATGTGAATATTATTTAGGTATTGATGCTTATAGCCTTTTTTATATTTTTTGCAATAAAACCGTTTTATGTTTCAAGTCTATGAATTAGTGATTTTGACCTATCTTCTTGCAGTATCAGTAGCTACAGTAGTAGGTTAAAAGAACATGAAAGGAGGTAAAAATATACAGTATACTATGGTAGATTTTACTAATTTGTAAATTGAATTTAACTATTTAATTAGGCATTCAAGCAAATCAAGAACGCTAAAACTGCTATACAGATAGCAAACTTAACCTAACCATAATAGTATGGCTTGCCTAACTACTTGATTAGTATCAAGCAACATCCACAAGACACTGGTTGGTTTTACTTAAGATAAGTTACGTTTATACCAAACCGAATAGTACATTCTATTATTGTCTAGTTAAGTTTAACCAGACAGTTATGATTATCTTCACCCCTAATTTGCATTATTTACCAGATCTTTATAATGCTATCAACTAAATAATAACGCATCTTTAAATATATGGTGTATTGTAAATTTTACCATATTAAGTTAAACACACTGTATGCCTTTAACTAACAACGTATAGGTAATTTTTACTATACGTTTGGATATCCCTTTTTTATCAATATTTTAGGGTTATATTAACTTTTTTCTGGTGTATTTTACCATAAATTTTTTTCAGTGTAAATCCCAGCGAGTGCGAGCGTGTGAGAGATAAGCGCGCGAGAGCACAACGAACTGAGATAGCTATAGATTTACGCACCGCTTGGAGTTACCAAACGAATTAAATTAGGGAAAATAATAAATTGTTTATTTCGCGATAAGATTGTCGGTATTTCTTGAATTCTTCTCAGACTGAGAAACAGAAAACTTGAAGAAAAAAGAAGATAGATCTTCAGCTCGTTCTAAACTATCCTCTGAGTCCAGTTCCGTTGTCTCTATGCAACATTGATGGATCGATGATTAAAATCGACAAGTTTGTTTTGCTGAAACTTTTTCGGAAGTATGATTCTCCAAGTGCTCTTAGTCCATCGACAGTTGTAGATGTTGTTTTAATCGATGGATTATGTTTTTTGCATCTTTTAAAAGATCTCCGGTAAACCTTTGAGCGATTTTCTGAACACATCCTCGGCAAGATTTGTGCTGTGTCAGCGAGAGAAGTTCATCTTACTTTTGACAGATCGTTACCCCTTCCATGAAGGACGTAGAACATGATCGTTGGGATCAAAATAAGGAAAGATTTCAGTCTTATTCAATTTCTGTTTCCACTCAGAGGCAGCCTGCAAATTTCATAAAACCACTTCGCAATGATAGCTCAAAGCCTCTCTTATAGATTACTTATACCGTTCATAGGCAAAAAAGACCTGTTGTGCTTTACTTGGAAGGAAGGTTGTGTTTGCCACATATGAAGATAAGTGCTATAAATTTGTGACAAAGGAAGATGATGTGGTAAAAACTGAATTGTGCTGCAGCCACTAAGAGGCAGATTCTCGAATAATTTACCATCTTGGTAAACTACCAACAAGTAGCAAAGTCATTATTAGCGCTTCCGATATGGATATTGCTGTTATTGCTTTGGGAAATGTAAAATTGACGCTACCATCAAGGTATAGATGGAAGTAGGTCTCTTTTCCAATAACACGTAGAAATTCATAATCTTCGAGAGATGTTCGTGAATTTGGGTGTTGATGTGTGTAACGCGCAGGGTAACGCGTTACCGGGTTCCCACGCATTTACCGGATGTATGACTTGTGTATGGTCCTCATGGTTTAGTTCATCGCAATTTGAGCGAATGCCACGGCAAAATGTCTGAGTTTCTACAATCCGTTTGATTGAAGTGGATGGAACTATGTGAATCAGAAGTTTAGAATCAAATGGTTTGAAAGATCTCAGTATTCAGTATCCTATCGCTATCTCTGTTGGTTATGCTCTCGCGCGCTTATCTCTCACACGCTCGCACTCGCTGGGATTTACTATACCTAAATTTTTTAACTTCTAAGACGTCTGCCGCTATTAAAGCTACACTTAATATCGTCTGCCAGGATATATTTTAAAGTAGTGACAAAAAGAGGAATTTTTTATGTATAATTTTTATACGGTCCTCATGGTTTAGTTCAGGGGTGGTTTTCCCTACATTTCGCTACCAACGCTGCACTTGAAATCGCCTGGCATAGCATATTTGAAAACTATGGAAAAAATGGGATTTATTGATACAAATCTTTTCCGTGACCCTTACAGTTTGGTAATTTATAGTTGATCACCTAAAGAAGTCACTTATTCAGCGCCGCCCCAAGTTAATGCTGCCACTTACGACTGGCAGACGAGTGATTTTATGATTAGTTTTCAACGTACTTTCAGCCTGTATTGTCGAATTTTTTGTCGCTTATGGTTTAGTTACTATGTACGCTGCCTCCCGGTCTATAAACCATTGTTGACAATAGAACTAATAACTGACATTCTAGACTTACTTACACAGATCTGTCTTTCTATCAAATTCGAACCTCTTAGAATATCATAAAGTTTATATCAAAACAAGTACAAATTGTGCACAACCCTTGTGCAGGTAAAGCGCATTTTTTTAAACACCCCTACGAAATTTCTTCCATAAATAAGAAAGTTAGCACTGCACATCCTACACAAAACCAAATTTGAAAAATGGAGCTACATTTGCTTTTATTCCAAGTGGCTATGTATCAAATTTTATTTAAAAGCCCAATTGTTATATTTCTTCCAAACGTCCCAATCGCCCTTTGTAGGTACTTTCCTTTAACAATTCACTCTTAAGATAGGTATAAGGAATTATAACCGATCACGACAAGGGATCGAGGAGGAAGACTATGGTTAGTATAAATTAATTTCTTTAATTGAGACCTTTCATTAGAGTACAATGAAGGATAAAACTAGTTCCACTCTCCCCCCCCTCCCTCTCCCTCCACCTCGTACTTTGTAGGACAGAAAGAAGGGCAGTAGTTGGTAGAAAACGGTTCCTTCGAGACCTTCAATTAGAATACAATGAGAGATAAAATTCCCGTCGCTCACTATCTCGAAAAAGATTCGTACGGGAAAGTTATAGTTTGTACAAACGAATTTATTTCGATGAGACCTTTCATTAGAATACCATGGAGGTTAGAACATGTGCCCCCCCCCCCCCCATTTTCTAAAGTTTAACTTGGCACCACTAAAGGCATGCGTATGCAAAATCTGCGACCAATTGGTTGTCGTATGTAAAAGTTATGCACGCAAACAATAACACATTTTTTTTAATTCTTAAAAAATGCGCTAAATAATAAACATGTAAACAAATATAGAGCTCCTTTTGCTTTTATTTAAGCTGTTATGCATGAAATATCCATTAAATCCCTCGATAAATAAGAAAAGTTGGCACTGCGCCTGCGCAAAACCAATACTCCAAGCGCCTATGTCTCAAATTTCATTTTTCGTCGACCTCTCGATAACAATATAAATTACTCCTTAGTGACGAGTACAATGATGAAGCTTATTAATCGTTAGCAACCATTAATGGTTAGCAACCAACCATTATACGTTAGCAACCATTAATCGTTAGCAACCACTTATACATAACAACCATTTTATTAAAGGGAAATGACAATTAGCCTACTCATTCAAACCTATTAAAATGTCAATTTAACATATGCTATAAAATAAACAAGTATAGAAGTAATACTACACAATGTACTAATGTTCGTTTGCCCAGTACAGGCCAGTAAAGATAAATTCTACTAAGTATGTATCAGGGAATTTTCCTTTTTACCATAAATACCCCAATGCCCAAATGTACCCACGTAGATTTAATTCGTAAAAATATGCAAGTGATGATGCATGATGATTGTAGAAAAAGCGTAACCGTGTTCTCGTTTACTGGATGGTATTCCAAACCCCCCAGACCCTCCGGTTCTTTGTTTTTACACAAAATGAGTTAAAAAAGGATGGTGCCTTTTTAAAGTATCAGGAGAGGATTAACGTACTGCAGGAGATGCAGCACCGGAGGGTATGAATCGAATAAACCCCGGCCCACTAAAGATAAATTCTATTATGTATCAGAGAATGTTCTTATTTTTCCCTTAATACCTCCTCGCCACCCCCAAATTCGCGATTCACACGATCAGGCAATTAGGTCGGCAAACCTCACACCGTTTCCTCAAAAATCAATAGGAAAGAGACTGGGGCGAATCAAAGACCGTTATACCGTAAGCATATATTGGAGGAATTGTTCAGGAGAAAAGACATTGTGTTTTAGTAAATATTGGGGAGGATTTTGAAAGTACCTCTTTAAATTCAATGTGAGATGTGTAATTACAAAGCACTACAGTTTGCAGGTGAATTTCCTGTATGTTACAAAGTGGAAATATCCTTATTGCTGTTTAGTGTGCACCAACAATAATGGAAGAATGGGGGCCAGGGAAGAGAAACCTGAAAGATGGTCGGAATGTTTAAAACGCCATTTGTAGGTAAATATCTATACTTTCTGCTGGTATTTATCTTTGTGCAGTGTATCAAACAGGCGTAATAAATCAAACGATTGTTTAAATAATGTTGAACTTGGAACTTCTGTAATAATTATAATGATAGATACAAACCGATTTATAAAGCGAGAATAGTTAAATAAACTGTTGATCTTTGTGTTAATTATTGGCAATTTGACATCTTTTAGTTATCTTGAGACTTCCAATTTTCGTTATATTGATGTCTTGCATTAGTTCGTTATAAAGTGGAATACTTTTAAAGTGTACAGGGAATCAATACTTCTTAATGGTATTTGTCTTAGTGTATCACATCGAACTGAAGGTACATAATAAATCAAACGAGAAACTTAGTAGCTTCTTTAATTACGGTGGATCTATACAGCGGTAAATAAACTTTTACGTTGACTAATGACGTCTAATGTAGCAAGTCTTTTACTTTAGCAACTTAACTATGATCCTGCGCAAGGTGTGAAATATATAAGGGTGACCGATGTCATAGTTGCGATTTGTCGGGTCACCATGGCGAGAGTGGTGTTAATGTGGTTGATTTCTTCAATTGTCTTAAAGTGGGTGATGTGCTTCGAAACCGATCGGAAAAACGTGACGCAAGTTTGCCTTAAACATGTGATTGAGGAAATGTTTGGGACCAATGAAACCATCCACTTTCTTGTTCCGGAAGATTTCGCCTACCACTCGATCTACGAGGTTCCCAATCCGAAGATTGTCGTTACGATTAATTCAGAGATACATGAAATTCCTTCAAATGCGGGAAGGAACTTTGTAATACACGCGGAAAATTGGTATTCTTTGGAACTTGCGTTAGAGTACCTGAATCACAGTTCCATTTGGAATGGCACTTGGTCTCCAGTAGGTAAATTTTTACTATTCACTAACGAAAAAAACGCGTCGGTTCTGTTTCAAACTTTATGGCGTTACAAATTGGTTCGTTCCGTGGTAGTGCTTTCAGAAGAGAGCAATCCCGTTCCGGAACTGTACACATCAAACCCTTACATCGAAGGTAACCAGTGCGGAGCAAACCCGACCAAATTTGACATTCAAAGCTGTGCAGTAAGACCAAGGCTGAGGGACGCGATTAAACCAATTTTGACTTCATACGGAGCGTGTGAGGTGGAGTACCAATTACGATCGCCGAAAGAATCTGACCTGCGAATTGAATGGCGCGAATATGCGGAGTTGGTTGTTGACTTTTTGAAGGAGAGGATGAATGTGAGTATCGTAGGATATCCGCCTTCGTTAAGATATCCACTAAATATCAGAATACGTTTCTACGCTACAAATCGATGGCCATACAACATCTCTCCTTACCAAGAGACGAGGGTGACGGTTACAGAAAATTTCATATGGCTTGTACCTAAACCAGATCAAATTTCGCCCCTGAAAGTTTATTTTATCGTTTTTAAGTATTCAGTCTGGATATTAATAATTTCGTGCCTGCTTTTGATTAGTGTACTTTGGTGGGTTACGTTTGGTTTCTCCAGTAGTTTCTCGCGCCCTTTGCTTAACGTATTTTCCATTACCTTATGGGGTAGTTACGCGTCTGTACCGAACGTAAAACCACTCAAATTGCTGTTACTGCTGTATATCATCTACAGCATTCACATACAAACTGCATACGTGTCGCTTTTGTACAAACTTCTGACAATTCCCCAGTATGGCAAAGGAATTGAAACTTTACCAGAACTGGCCGATTCCCGTTTAACTATTTATTCACAACCTCGATTAATCCGTGCATACATGTATCAGAACATATCCGACTACGCTCTTTATACGAGAATACAAAGTCAGCTTGAAAAAAACCATGTTAAAGCGAGTAACCCCTTGAAACCGGGTGACAACTACGCCTCACTCATAACCGAAACAACCTTCAAACAATTCCAAGTCAACAGCAAAACCATAATGACCAACAAAATAATTGACAATTGTCTGACGGGACCCGTCGAGTACGCATTCATGACACTGAGAGGACATTACTTTAAAGAAACCTTAAATCACATCATTATCGGTCTCGCTGAAAGCGGTTTGGCCGAAAAACTCCGTCGGGACGTGAACTACTTCAACGAAAAAAATCTCCTCAAGTTCGAGAAGAATTACGACGCGAAACCGCTCACCCTAGGTCAACTTTACGGAATTTTCGTTATATGCGGCACGCTCCTGGCTTTGTCAATGGTGGTTTTTTGCATTGAAGTCGCTGTAGGGAAACGAATGAAGCAAAGGCAAATTGAATACAGAAATTAAACGTTTTCTTCTAATGTAAGCACCTGATTTGTATATCTGAGCACACTGTATAAGTTGCCCCACCACAGCAAACTTTTGTAGAAATTTTGTATTACTTTCATGAGACACCCTGTATCAACAAGATACATTAAACCAACGATAAATGTAGAGGTGAGCTTGTAGAAGTGGAAACTCATAGATGTTTACCTACAGCTGTGTATTAATAAAATAATGTGTATCTCACATAACTATGTGTAGAAGTGCACAAAATCTACGTGTTATAATTTAATAAATAAAAAATGGTAGTAATTCTATATGTGTTTCAAAATATTAATATTCACATCCAAAAACCTGAATAAAAATGTATCACTACTAGTTGTTGCCTTGAAGTACTCTTGAGACGTTCCACCCTGTATATACAACTTACGACGATGCACACATTTTTGAGAGTTGACAACCACGCAATTTTTAGGAGGGGAAAGCGATTTGCGCCACCTGGAGATCACGAACGTTGGCGACGTTTGGCATCTTGTCTTGAATTGCAGTCGTATACGTCTCGCTCCATAAATGTTTGTTGTTATTTTGTGTTATTTAATGCAGGTAGTAATTTTTGCATTTCTTTATATCGTATTTGTTTTTTATGTGTTTCAATCTTCGTTTTTGAAATTTACTTGGTTTAACCGCAATGCATAATCACTATTTGATACCGTTATGCTATTGTTTGTAATTGTTTACGTTTTTGGTGTAATACTTGCTTAATATATGTTTATTGATGTTGATTACTTGGTCTTGTCCCTGAAGTAACATTCATATAAGTTTTGATCATTTTATTTTAATATTTGGAAATTACCGATTCGCATGATGTATGTATTGACTTGTTGTTTGTAACTAACATTTTCTCCGTGAATGAAGCAGTCACGGGCGTGGTAAGAACTGTAACCATTTGAGGTACGACACCTAATTCCGTGATTGTCTTCGACATTCAACTGTAGGCTCGAAACCCCGAAACTAGGGGCGGGTTACTTATCTTGCCGGATCGGGATTACGCTAATCAAAGCTCTTCAGTTGAGAATCTCACAATGAGTTACGATTCGTAATTTCCCCATATTTTGTTTTTAGTTAAATTTGCCTACAGGGCCCTGTAATTTTCCATCTTGCTTTCAACAAAAGGACTTTATTGCACCAAAGATGAGTCATATCCTGTGTATTTCATCCTTTCTGCGAATCTTGGTATCTGCTTACCTGACCCATAATTCCCAAAACTTGTTTTTAACTTATATGTTACCTCTTGAAGTTTGCCTGCTACTTTTTGTGATGTTATAATTTCATGTTACGCATTCACATCATTACAAACAATTAATTTTACTACGCAATTTAACATTAATTTGACGGTTGGTTTTTTTATTGGTAAGTTCTTTTTTTTTCAAAGTTTATTTTTGCAATGTAATTTATTTTGACTTAAATTTCCGAGCTTTTACAATCAATAATAATGGGGGCTTCCCGGCTTCATTTTTTATTTCTGATCTATAAAGTACATTAAAAATAAAAAGACCCGCGTGTCCTCAATTTTTATTTGTGAGTAAAATAAACCCAAAATAAATTATGGAAACGCTGTGTTTGTAGTCCGAATTTGAAAGGCTCCAGTCTAAATACGTCACAAACCTACAACCAATCTCGTAGAAGTGAGCCGGCAACCTTGTGCGAGGGTCTGACGTGGCGGATTTGACGTTTTAAGAGGCATGTTTAACTGCATCTAACCACAGCCGTCTATAATTACAAGCCGTGCTGAGAATTATGGCAACACTGCATGGTAGGCCGATTTCCTAATTCAACTTGACAGATTTTGGGTGTATTTTATATGTGTTTTGGGTGTAATATTCCAATTTTCCTGTTTTAACAGAGCGAGATTGCGACAATTTGTGTTACTCCCTACGGAATGAACAGAAATTATTATTCAGGTAAGTTGCTAAACGAAATATATCGATTTGTTGTCATAACCTCTAAAGCAGACTACTCGTTAATGGACCCTTTACAAGCACTTGTGTTTGTTCAAAGTACCAATTTCGGAGATCTCGATGGAAACCACATTATGATGCAGTTACCAATTTACAGCGTTCCGAATTTTAAAGTCAAATAAAAATGTTATTATCCATTTTTTGTAAATAAATAATATATATGCACAATTGTAAGCTGCCTAAGTATCTTTCTTCTATATTAAAACCGCCAAGGCAAAACACAGGAGAGAGGAAAATGCCATTTTTCAAGAGCAACAAGACGCCATTAAAACTAAATCGGCCCACCGATTGACTTTCGATTCGAAAGTTTCGAACAACGTTGCCAAACTTCTCAGCATGGCTTGTAATTATAGACGGCTGTGATCTAACGCGAAAGTGAACGACAAGTGCCTGTGACAGGTGACAAGTTACAAATGACATTCTCCTGCAATATTGCCAATTCGTTATGCCATCTGAATGGTTCTAGGAGCTGATTGGTCGGGCTTATTACGTCACAGAGCCCGCCACAATCATATCGTTTTAAATCAACCCTTAAAACCGCACATGTTCATTATTTTTTTGCTAATCAGCCTCTATTTTTAAATAAACTTTTACTGTCCAAAACAAATGTTTTATGGTTTCAGGTACACCCTTATTAAATTAGAACTACGAAATTCAACTATACTGTAAACCCCCATTGCGATCTTTTCACAATTTCAGTGTTTTATTTTACGTTCCCTCCCTACTGTGCTTCAGGTCATAGCGTTGTTTACAGCTAACGTAAGGGGGCCCTGCCTTAGATGTTAGATCACGTACCACTTTTTAGCGCATTTCCACAAAAATATAAAAAAAATGCGCTATTGTGGCCACTTTGTCCGTCCGTCCGTCCGTCCGTCCGCTAACTTTGCGACGCTACTAGTTTTTTATCTTAAGAGCTATTGTTCTACTTTTTTCGCTATTTGGTTCGTTATGGTGTCGAGTCTTGTACCAAGGAAGGAATTTTTTCTGTACCGCTTACAAAAAAAGTTATTGTAAAAAAAACAAAAAACCGTTTTTTACATGTTCCATAATTTTACACTTTTGCCGTTTATTAACGATCCTAGAGATCGTTTATAATTTTGCATTGCTATCTGTCGTCTGCCTGTTGGTCTGTCCGTCTGTTCCTTTGTCTGTCTGTCCATCTATCTGTCCGTGTGAACGATAACTTTGTTTAGAAATGTTCGATCGCTTTTACATCTCCGTTAGTTATGAACTGAATTGCATGAAATTCAATATGGGCATAGCTTTAACCATATAATACGCAATGCCAAAAGTTGAATCGAATCGATTCAAAATTCACAGTGCCCTTTTCGCATCTCGACCATTTATAAACCGAATTGCAAACTTTTTTACTTATAAAAGTATTTGAATGAAATTTGATACATAGGCACTTGGAATAAAGGAAAATCAAACGCCAATTTCAAAATTTGGTTTTGCGCATGCGCAGTGCCAACTTTTTTATTTATGGAAGAATTTAAACGAAATTTGATACATAGGCACTTGGGATAAAGGAAAATCAAACGCCAATTTCAAAATTTGGTTTTGCGCATGCGCAGTGCCAACTTTTTTATTTATGGAAGAATTTAAACGAAATTTGATACATAGGCACTGGGTTTAATGGAAAATCTAGCGCCAGTTTCAAAATTTTATTTTGCGCATGCGCAGTGCCAACTTTTTATCTATGGAACTATTTAAGTGAAATTTGATACTTAGGCACTTGGAACAAAGGAAAATCTAACATTAGTTTTAAAATTTAGGTTTGCGCATGCGCAGTTCCAACTTTCTTATTTAGAAAAGCATTGAAATGAAATTCTTCTCATAAACTGAAATTGAAGTAGCACGTCAACAATGGATTGCCCATGTGCAACGCTATCTTTCATATTTGTGGGCGGATTTTTACGATTCTAACAGAAGTTGCATCTTACAAATGGGAAATGAATGCAAGTGGAAATGCGCTTTATGTAAATCGTTTACGATTACTTTTTAACTTGTTAAATTTAAGCGGGATCTTTTTTAGTTTTGGAGGGAATAGTCATTTGGGTGGCCATTTTTAAACGTTGCCGGGTTGACTTTATTTCCGTGTTCTTGTAGTGTGAAGTTAGCGTAGAACCTGGGGCTTAAGTACACTACGCACTCTTGGTCAGTACCTAACAATTAAGAAATGTGTCTGATTTTTAGCGTATTTTTTAAGAATTAAAAAAACTGTGCTAGTATTTGCGTTTTGCCCTTCCGTCCGTCCGTCCGTCCAGACCCACTTCTACCGTTTTGAACTACTTCTAGGCGAATGGTCTTAGAGTCCTGGATTTTTTTGCAGTAGGTGGTAGCCTATACCTTGAAGGATGTGCCAACCGGCCATTAAATTTCGCTGTCTAAAAGGGAGACCCCCCACGAATTATTTCCTGAGATGCTGTTTTTGAAAGTAAAACGAGCATAACTTTCACACACGACAACCAATTGGTCTCAGATTTGGCATACGCATGCCTTTAGTGGTGCCAAGTTAAACTTTAGAACATGGAAGGGGGGGAGGTAAACACATGTTCTACCCCTCACAGTATTCTCATCGAAATAAATTGGTTTGTACAACCTATAACTTTAGCGTGCGACTCTTTTAAAAATTAATTTTGTCTCTCATTGTATTCTAATATTAAAGAATGGATTGTCGGAAGAGGATACTAACAAAGGGCGATTGAAACGTCTGCAAGAAATATATCCATTGGTGAAGTCAAAACAAAAGCTATTTCGGTTAAAAAATGCGTTTTATCTGCACAAGACCTGTGCACAATTTATACTTGTTTATACATGTGTAAAACAGCATTTGTACCGCTTCATACGAATAGTATAGGCTCGAGTTAGTTTATTAGCGCGCATAAAATAGGGTTTACGATAGTGGAGGAAAGCCTTCAATTTGCGCTAGTTCCGTCAGGATAGAGCCGAGATAACGTAAATGGATAAGAATGAGGGCTTGCGATTGGTGAAAAGGGGACGGTG